AAAGAAGTGGATGTAGGCACGGTGACTTCACCCATTGGTTTGTGGATTACCGTTCTGAAGCCTAGAGTTAGGCATTTTGGCTGTCGCTATCTTGGGTTTTTGGAACCAGAAGTGACCATATTTGGATGAGAGTGTAGAGCTAGATACCTTGGTTAGCAAGGTGCATCTGTAATTCAAGTAAACTTTCAATCAAATTACAATTTTTCTATTAACTTTCATGAACTGAAAACATACTATCAAAGTTCAAATTTCTTCGACAGAAACACCAACAGCACCCAAAAACATTTTAACAACAATTCTATCTATCCTGATTGACAGGTCTTTAACTCAATGTGGTGTATTTTTTTCAGCATTCCAAGTGCCATAAAAAATGATGAGAGTTAATGATGCTCACGCAAGTTCACAGTCATCATTTGCAAACAGATACCTTCAGTTTACCATTCTTTTAGCTTGTAACAAAGCCTGTGAACCTTTCGGGAATTGTAGATTTAGAGGAGATTGAACATTAACTTGACCGTGATGGTTTCAAAATTGACTAAAAAAGATGTTCTGGGGTAAGCTAACCCATCTGGGGAATCGTTGCATTTCTTTGGATAAGTTAAATTTGTGTTTTGTTTGCTAATCAGTAAGTAATCTAAGACAGCATTTACATATAAATGGAAACAAATTATATGTAAACTCTTAGATTTAAGTTTATACCCTTGAAAACTTGGCATTAAACTTAATTCTTCTATCTTTTGTTTAAGATTCCAAACTTTAATTCTGCGTTCACACCAATGATAGCACTATTCATAGTACTTTATAGGGTTTTCATTTTTTTAAATGTGACCACTGTTTTGGTTTCCAGCAAAATTCATCTTCCATCTAGCATTATGCTACTTTACGATTTACTTGGTACCTTGTATACCTCGTAGCGTTTACAGTAAACCACATCATACATTTGCATATGATTCAGATTGTGACAGTCGTTGAGAGCACTCTCACTCTTGAGGGTTAGCACTGATTCAGGAAAGCTGGCAGAGTTTCCATTCGAATCACTAACTCTGTCTTTCTGTCTTAGGGAGCATACAAGTCTATGAGTGAGACTGCATTTCACTGGACAGAGTGACCTCTATGTCACTCTAACCGTAAGACTAAAACCACCACATCTTCAATAAAATATACTAGCTGCTGCACTGCCAAGGTTCCTCTTTTCCATAGGGGAAAGGTCACGAAGCACATAATGTATATGGACTCATGTTGAGAAGACACAGACTGTTGTTTTCATTCATTTTGCTGTGCAGAAAATTGAGCTAAGACATTAAAGCATTGCATAAACCTATTTGTCCGTGTTCAAATCGTATTATATAGTATTCTCATAATACTACATATTTTATGATTATTTTAACCATGTGTGTCCCAGAATGATTTTGATATGTGTATTGAGTTAGAAGATTTGTATCATTGATGCTGAACTTTTGTTTTCTGCCCTCATAGCAGAAACAAAATAATAATAAGATGCTTTAGTTCCTTTAGCCTCTGGGAATGTGGGTGATTGCCCCGCATAATGAGCCTCGTTTTTATTATGAAAAGTGATTATCAAAGTCTATAACTTGAATTTTGTGGATTTTTCAGGTTCTCACATTTATATTAAATCAACTTATATAATCTTTCTTGCACCTCAGCACATTTCAGTACCTTCAATGTGCTTACATGCAGACTAATACCTAATTAGTAGTCTGGGCACAGTAAAGTAAGCATCCTTTTTATATCCATTTTTATAGTAATATTAACAACACTCTTTTTATTAACAAAAACTCTTATCCCATTTATTACATCTGAATATAAAGCCCATGTAAATGATTCCAGTTGTGGTTTTATTATCACACTAAGAATATTTTGTTTTTTCATAAATACAGCAATATTTCTGTGTGTGATGTGAAGGTCCAAACAGCATAACCTAAATTTGACTTCATAATTAAACTTTAATGACCTTAATGTGTATCATTTGGAAAGTGAAAATATTTATTAAAATCTGCTGTCATATAAGGCCAAACAGACACAATCTGCTAACAAAGTCCCATATCTATATGACACAAAAATGTAAACAATATATTTTTGTTTAGATTAGATTCTTTATTGTCCTTTTCAGGAAATTTGTTTCTACTATCTGTACCTACATTACCTCACATATAAACAAAATGAACATACCTACCAACATGCTGTATATCCGTACATTTTATACACAAATTGACACCAAACCAAACATACTTTTTTACTTAGCAAGTACTTTGCAAAATGGCTTTCCTGTGAGTATGTTGAAATAGGCTGAACAGTAAAGAAGGATGAGTTGAATTATAGAGAAGCAGCAGAAGGTGGGTTGCAACCGAAAGGGATTTGAGAATATGGATGGCAGAGAGTCTTTGTTGGCAGTGTTTGAAAGTGTCTGTGGTATGTTGATCAAATTTCAAATTTGACAACAATATTACAGTGTCATACATTGACAACCCAGCATTGAAAGTGTTCTCCCCACAGGCTAAGGAATATTCAACTATCATCAGCTGCTAGATTCTGTCTTTCCCTTGGTCATAAACATACTTCTTTGGTTTCTCTAGCTCAGATTCAGCGTCCATGCATCACAGTACTTTTCTTGTTCATTTTTAGTCTCCAACACTCCAACACTGCAGATCTCTGTGTTTTTCTCCCTTTTGCTCCTCAGGCTTCTTCCTTTTGGATACAGTGAAGTCTTAAGGTGCGTTCCCACCGAAAGCGAATCCAGCGTCAGTCAATGCAAAGACGCAAATTCGTTCCGGGTGGCGCGAATGAGGCGTTTGTCGTGCAATTCGCGCGAGTTCAAATTTTTCAACTTGGGCGAGAAATTCACTTGACGCGATGTTGCGAAAGCCTACCAGTGGTGAGATTGTCCAAACATCACCGGTGACTTCGGAGCGTTGTACGAGAGTTCTGCTGGGCTACTACTTCATATTTATATAAAAAGTGGACATTACTTGGTGAAAAGAAAGCGAGGAAGTTGAACTACCTGTTGAGTTCAGAAAATGTCTGTCTGTAACTTTATTCCAGCTATTGTTGTACTTTACTGTGAACAGGTCAGCATAGCATAGCCCAGCTCCATCCGAACTCCATTCAGAAAACAAACATTTTAAAAGTTGTTGTCTTGCTGACTTGCTGACAGACCTGACAAAGCATGAATTCATATGTCTAACAAAACGGCATCATATTTGTAGTTATTTTGGCATCAGTTTGATCCGTTTATTGCAATTAAATCACAGCAAAGGTTTTCTTTGGTTTATATAGCTGTAGTATCCGCGGGCTGTTTATTTACTTAAAACGCGTTGTGTGTGAAAACTCAAAATGTCCAACAGTCAAACTCGCCTGAGTAAAGCGAGGCGAATATTAAATTCGCTTTCAGTGTGAACACACCTTTAGTGTCTTTCGCTCAGTGCTCACATAACAGCTCAACTCCAAATTCAATGAACAAAGGAGCTGTATAGCTCTGCAGTGGCAATACACCATTACTGACCACCTCCATTGTCTTTTCATCCACCAGTGACAAAATCATTTAAAACATTTTTAATACATTTTTATTTTTCAACAAATCTGTGCAATCACATTTCATGAATTTCAGGATTATTGCTATGATGACTACATTTTTGTAACTCATGACACACCTACTGCCTTTACTAAACCAATTCTGCAGCGGTGGAGCATCCTAGTAGTGCTCTAGTGCAAGCCTGGAAAGCTGAGATGACACTACAAATCCTGAACTATCCACTATAAAGTGCTGACATGACTTGAAAAATACTCATAAACATGACTCAACCACTAGAGAATCAGACCTCTGCACGTTAACAGTGAACAGTTAAAATATGCAGCACGAAATTAAAACAGCTTCCAAATAGTCCTAAACTCTTTCCAAAACCTCTGTCCTGTGGCTTAGCCTTTCTATTCTTGGTCATATCACCAGCACTGTTGTGTTTCATCACATACCTCTAACACATCAAATGATCATTACCACCGCCAATGTGGTTATGTGGTCACCTCTGTTTGTTTGTTTTTTTGTGGCTGAACCAGGGTGACATTTGAACATTCATTCTCCTCAGAGGAATAATCATTTTTTTTTAGAAACCCCCATGACCTTTTCTCTATTGCTACCATCAGCTGCGTCGTTAGCCCTGGGCTTTTTTGAAAAGCCCCGGATCTCAGAAGGATTTTTAAAAATCAAACAACAAAAGGCCGAAAATTGAACATTACTCGCTTAACTAACGTTACGTGCGCGGGAGCGAGCGAGAGAGGGAGATAGATTGTTATTATTTATTCTCCTGCAACTTAGCAGAGAATAAGATGATCCAGCTGTAACTCTGTGTATGTCCTCTCCACCTGAAGGGGCTGTGAGCTGCACTTTATCAGAGGCTCTGAAATTAACTTGTGTGGATTTGTGGTCAGGTTAATCACCTGATAGGCATAGGAGGCATTATACAAATCTCATTTCAAAATCTATGTTTTTGTTTTGTCAAAAATGATTAACAGTGGGGTTTTGCCCTGGCAGCACGTGAGATGGTTGATATCCCATTATTTTTGCAATGTCAATAATATCAACAAGATATTAAGTGTCATTAAATTGACATGGTCTATCTATAGCCACGATTTAGCTGTTATTTGGAAAGGCTACGTGTAGTCTGCTTTTAGCCCTGTTTCAGACCAAATAGGTTACATGTAGTTTTCACCCGATGCAGCTGTTGAGGTGCGTGACATCATATCATCAAATGCAAGTAAACGTTTGAAACATTTAAATTATCTTTATTTTTGCTGTAACGTTCACTGCAGTAACTGCACTTTCATTTTAATTTAAAACAAAATGCAATTACTATTTTCAACCGCTAGATGGCAGCTGTAGCCCTACTGACACATGACTACTGGCAACGCGAGACTTGAAAGTTAGTATACATCAGGGACGGCTAGATCTCGCGATAAAGACATCCGCCATTTTTAAACGAGGGATACGTTACGATGTCGGCCTTTAAGCGAGCAACGGGCGAGAGTTTACTGCAAACACTGGAAGCGAAAATACATTTACTTTGGTCTTGTAAGTATCTGGGTCTTTGTTTGACATGTCTTCATTATTTATCTAAATTATTTGTTAACGTGTAGGAACCGGGACATTTCAGCGGGTAACATATAGTAAGGCACGTTGTGGTTAACTTAACATGCTGCATGCAAGTGTAACTTAACGTTACTCCATGATACCCACGGGTTTCCTCGTGCCCTTAAAAACTCTTACATTATATTATCTGAATTCAGAAGGGGTGAACATAAAACATGCACAACCTTACCTATTATAATTTGTAATGAAAGCCACACATATTTTACTCACTAGATCATTACGAAATGAAAATATGAGTTTTTGACTTTTGACACTAAATATTTATTGCAAATTCTCCAGCATACAGTCAGCAAAGACAACAATAAATATTCAGAACAGAACACTTACATTCACCACACATAGCTCTCTCAAAAGAATAAAAGCAACTTTCTCTATTTGGTTGTTCTAATGCAACATGGCTAAAACATGTGTCCTGTTCGAGTATCTTTATATTTTCCATAGAGATAAATGGGTCAGTAATAAATACTTTTAAATTGAAAAGGAAAAAAACTTTATAAATATACTCTTATGTTTTCATTTAAAATCATTTGATGATAGTAGTCATGTCTTATGGGAAAACAGTCAAATTATAATGTTTACTTATATTCATATTCTTACATATTAAACAGTTCCAGATCCCATTTACCCGAGAGACTGGCGCCAACCGAGAGACCCATCTGATGCTCTTGCTGCATCAAGTAGCAGCGTAGATGAAGATCTAGATTTGGATGTAGCCAACCAATTTATTTTATCATTATTTATGTTTTTAATACCGTATGTTGTTAAAATTGTTTGTATTTTCATATATATATATATGAACTGTTTTGTATTTATAATATTTTAGCAATAATTCCTTCAATGTTGTAGCCTATTATCTTAAGTTGCCTACGTTGTAATCCTTTTTCTTAATAAAATCTTTATATTTAATTTGTTTGGACAGATTACCATTTATTTAGAACCTGTTATGTTTGAGTAAAAACAGTCCTTTAGCCACTATTCTGTTGTCTATTAAAGGTAGATATGTAGTCATTTAAAAGCTGTGTATTTGGTCTATTCTTGGGCTATGGTTAGACATCTACCAAACTTTCACAGACAGCCCAAATTCAGCCCTGTTTTAGCCTAGAATGATTTTCAACGTCTATTAGACATCTATATGTAGTCGTTCAATAGTGGTCTGATGACTAGACTATTTTTGGGCTATGTTTAGATGTTTTTTATGTTTTAGCCCAGACGTCTGGGCCCTGTTTAGACATCTATTAGACGTCTTTTAACCGTGAAATTGCTTGCTGGGTGGCTCTGGTGATTTCAGAGCTGGTTCATATAGGATGTGGTTTAGCTACTAAGTGACCAGTCAATCACTCACACACTCCACATCAGTCGCAGACAAAATGTATAGAAATGTTGAGGGAGAAAAAAAAAGTTGCTCGACACCGGTGCAGCTTCTTCTTGTGTGCTGCTGTTCTAGCTGAAGGCAGCAGTGATGATGTCTGCAGCAGGGGTGGGTACATCTAATGTAGGAAGTTAATTTCGCTACATTTTCCATTAATACCTTTTATGACTTAACCAGTCTGTAATCTGCATTTTGCTTCATTTACCGATATGAGCTGTCATCCAGGCTGTGTGCGCACAGTTAGGCAGTAAAGCGCTGGTCGGGCGCTTGCCACAGTCACACAGCTGGGCAGATGCAAACATTTAGAAAATCAGGCAAATATCTTTTCAGTTTAAGGCTTTATTGTTACTACTAATACAACTTAAATCTAGTGAGCGCACACCATGGCACTGGTGGCCTGTTGGAAAGCAGCCGGGTGGCTCTTTCACGAGCCAGCAAGTGAAATACTTTCACTTTCCATTAACGCCGCATTAAAAGCGTCTTTAGTCTCTGCAGAGCAAAGACTACACACTGTAAGATCTATGTCAGACGAGCACTGCATTGATTGAGATATATTAAAAGTGTCCTGTTGTTGAACAGAGCATCGCTTTGGACATTACCCTGTTTCTTTTCTTTAATACATATCTGTTACTATTTGTTTTATAGTGATGTCCGATGGTGAGTCCATAAACAGAATGTCGCCGGTGAAACGTCTCGGGTTACATATTTAACCCTTGTTCCCCGAGAAGGGGAACGAGACACTGCGTCAGTGACAACATTATAGGAACGCCTCTGGGCGTGGCAGGGCTGAATTATGAATGAAACTACTCCAATTCTATTGGTGTTGCTAGAATGGTAGCGTGTGACGGTGTAACTGGAGGCGTATATAAGCACGCCGGCACACAGGACACATTAGCTCTTTGCTATGAAGCAAGGCACCCCAGGCGAGGTGAGGTGTGGTGGACCGACGCAGTGTCTCGTTCCCCTTCTCGGGGAACAAGGGTTACATACGTAACACGAGACGTTCCCCTTCGAGGGAACTCGAACTGCGTCGGTGACGACACTATGGGAACGAGATACCCACTAGGCTGCGCCAAACCCCTGCCTGCCCCCAGCGTGCAGAAACCTGTAGGCACGACTAAGAGGAGAGTGCACGGGTGCCGGGTGCAGAAGGAAGGTCCAGACTGTAAAACCGGATAAAGTGTGAGGAGTGGCCCAGCCAGCTGCCTCACACAAATCCTGGAGCGAAGCCCCTGTGAGGAGGGCCCTAGAGGCCGCCATGCCTCGAGTAGAGTGTGCCCCCACGGCCATAGGTGAAGGAAACCCGTTTAGAAGCACACCAGCAACTGGTCTGCTTTCCTCCACTGGGAAGACCTCAGAGTGTAAATACTCAGTGCTCTGACAGGGCAGAGCAGATGAAGTCTCCCGTCCTCCGCCGTCACATGGGGTGGGGGATGAAACGCCTGCAGCACCGTGGACCCTGCCAAACTGGATGGAACCTTAGGGACATAGCCCGGACAGGGGTGCAGGATGGCTCTGACCCTCCCCGGGGCAAATTCCATGCATCGAGGAAAAACCCGAAAGTGCCTGGAGATCCCCCACCCTCCTCAAAGAGGTGATGGCGAGGAGAAAGGCCATCTTAAGGGTCAGGTGCTTGGCCTCAGCCGACTCCAGGGGTTCGAAGGGGGCCTCAGCCAGCGCTTCGAGAACCACTGCCAGGTCCCAAGTGGGAACCTTGGAACGAGTCATGGGTCTCATCCTCCGGGCTCCACGGAGGAAGCGCACGACCAGTGGAACCTCCCCAAAGGCCCATCCCTCAGAGGGGCGTGGAACGCTGCAATGGCAGCCACATACACCTTGAGCGTGGACGGGGAAAGGCCAGCAGAGAAACGGTGCTGGAGTAACTCCAGTATCATAATCACCAAGCAGGTAACTGGGTCCACCGCCCGTTCTCTACACCAGGTGGCGAACACATTCCACTTCAGGCCATACATCCTTCTCGTGGATGGGGCTCTGGAGCTGAGTAGCTCGACCGCTTCTGCCGTCAGGCCCGCCTCCAGGAACTGCGCCCCCTCAGGGGCCAGACCCACGGCTGCCACAGGGCGGGGCGCGGGTGAAAGACCTGGCCTCCCGCCTGGGACAGCAGATCTCTCCTCAGAGGGAGCGGGCCCTCCAGGAGCGATATTATGTCCGAGAACCACACTCAGGCCGGCCAAAACTGGGATACTACTGGGAAAACTGGGACACAATAACTCCACCACCTTGGGGTGGAGTCTCCATTCCCCGGGCCTCAGCCCCTGTGTTGACAGCAGGTCTGCTCCCTGATTCTGGGTCCTAGAGATATACATTGCTCTGAGAGACAGCAGTCTTTGCTGGGACCACAGGAGGATCTGATGTGCCAGCTTGCATAATGGTCGCGAGCGCAGACCCCCTTGGTGATTCAAATAGGCCACCACTGCCGTATTGTCGGTCCTGACAAGGACGTGGTGACTGCGGAGGGCGGGCAGAAACTCCTCAGAGCTCTGAAAACCGCCAATATTTCCAGGCAATTTATGTGCCAAGAGAAATGATGCTCCTGCCTCTCGCAAAGCGGCTGTCCATGACCGCGCCCCACCCCGTGAGTGAGGCGTCTGACATGACACTCCCAACACGGGACCCTGGGACAGGAACCAAGGTTTCCTCCATACTGACAGGGAACGAAGGCACCTGCTCGTAACCCGTATCAGAGGGAGCGGATTTCCCCTCGGGGAGAATCCCTTGGATGTTAACCACCACTGCAGGGCTCTCATGTGCAGCAGGCCAGAAGGTATTATACTGGACGCTGCTGCCATGAGACCCAACACCCTCTGAAAGTGTTTCACAGTGATGGTGCGACCTAGCTTCACTCTGGTCACTTTGGACAAAATGGACTCGACGCGTGCAGGAGACAGGTGTCTGTCTGACTGATGATGGCGGGGATGGTGAGCATCTTGAACCTGAATCTCCTCAGAGATAGGTTCAGGGACTGCAGATCTAAAGTTGGACGCAACCCTCTGTCCTTCTTGGGAACTATGAAGTACCGGCTGACTGGCAGGAAAATAAGTTCTATGGCCCCTTTATCCAGCAGAGAGCAAACTTCTTGTCCCAACACCTGGCTCTGCTCCGCGTGCACCGCAGTCCAGACCACCCTGTTAAATCTGGGAGAGGCGGACCCGGAACTGCAGCCTGTAGCCATCCACTATGGGAAATGTTGGTAGTGGGCCCCCCTACTCGAAACCTCAAAAACCTCAGGACCTCTTTCCCCGGGCCTGCCGAGACTGAATGATGGTCCTCAGATCCGTCTTCTCCGGAGCTGTGGGCTAGAGTGCCGCCTTGCGTCCCAGTTTGGTTCAGGGGGATCACGGGAAACTCTGGCAGTAGGAGCTAGACAAGGGCTGAGCTCGTCTCTCTTCAGCCGTCGCCGTCCTGTACCCAGACCGGCGGCTTGAAGGATGACGCTAGGGTGGGAGAAAGGTAGCTCGCTAATGCCTCCTCAACCCGAGGCATCGCTCCATAGCCGCACTGCTTAATCTCTGTCACATTGCTGTAATCCAGCAGAGGGAAAATAGTCAGCTGTACAGAGAAGGGTTTATTCCATGATTTACACAACTCATTGTGTAAATCAGGAAAGAAAGGCAAGGACTGGCGCGGGGGCGGTGCCGCAGAAAACACCCATTTAGTTTACTGCCGGCCTGCCTTTAGTTCATCAGAGCTGGGCGCAGACTGATGACGTCGGCCCGGCTCCCGGAAGTCATCCTCCATGACGCTAAGCACGCCTAACTCATCAGAATCAGACCGTGCGAGCCTCTCCGGACTCATACCTCGAGCAGGAGAAGCCGAGAAGCGGGCTCCCGAACGGGGAAGAGGGGAGTCGGAGCCAGCAGACGAGGCACGGGAAAAAGCCTCGGCAGTACCGATGCCCTCTGAGATGTTGCGCTGGGAGCCCCATGACCGAAGCCACCGCGCCGTCTCAGCGACTGCAGGGCCTGAGCCACGGCGAGAGCGCATCCGGCCGTCTAAGGAGAAAAGAGCTGCACGGGACCTCAGCACCCTCAGGGGCAGGGCCTCGCAATGGCCGCAAGCAGCCCCCTCTAGAGCTGCCTGGGCAAGCGGCATTGCCAGACAAGACACACAAAGGGAACGAGTGTCCCCAGCCGTGATGTAGTGCGGGCATGGGAAACACACTGCCTGAACTGCTCACCAGCCATCTCTTCTGCCAGACTAAGAAATTTCCTATCGTGGTTGTACTTCTTTTGTAGTCTCAAACATGCCAGAGTGCCTGCTGAATAGAAAAAAGATAATGTGTCCTGTGTGCCGGCGTGCTTATATACGCCTCCACTTACGCCGTCACATGCTACCATTCTAGCAACACCAATAGAATTGGAGTAGTTTCATTCATAATTCAGCCCTGCCACGCCCAAAGGCGTTCCCATAGTGTCCACACTGATGCAGTTCGAGTTCCCTTGAAGGGGAACTAATCTTTCACTCAGCAGCTACCAGCTGTTATTTATTTTTCAGCTGTTATTTATTTTTCAGATGAGAGAGAGAGCGCAAGAGAGAGAGAATATGGTGGATAAAACAGTCCGGTTGGGTTTTACCCATGAGGCAAAGCTGCAGGTTTACCTGCTTCAACAACGAGCTGCTCTCCTGTTACTGCCACAATAATTCTTTGCCTTGTGAAGATTATTTAGATGCTTCAGGAATAATCACATTGTATTGGCCTGTATCAGCCTGTGCTACTGCAAAGCAAGCGGTTTGGTTGTCTACATCTCCATAATAAAAGGCACAGGTAACAAAAGTTGGCTGGGCAGCAAAAGTATATCCTTTATTCTGGAAATGTCAGAGACCCAGTTAGACTCTGAATGTGCAGAACTTTGAACATGAGCAGAAAACCTGCTGAAACACAGGAGCTATTAAAATCCAGGAGTTTATAACTGAATTAAAATGATTTAATTTATTATTGATGAGGTAAAAAGGTGCCACATGCACATTTAAAGAGGTTATCTCAATCAGTCACGGCCTGTGTGTGTGTTGATTCAGCAGTGATAATATTAAAAGTTGATCTACAGGAGAAACATATCTGAAAGCAACCCAGAATGCCCGAGAGCTGCTCTGCTTTATATTCTGTTACAGTTTTAGATTTTAAATTGTTTAATTATACCTTTATTAAATCAGAAAAACTCTTTTCCCAAGAGTGTACTGGCCAAGGCAGGCAGTAGTACAATTGCACATTTAAGATGGAAATAAATAATCAGTTACAAGGTCATAAAATATCAAAATTTTCTTAAATATTCACCACAATTCAGCAACACCTGAATTTTGTGTGTCCCTTTACATAAATAATTTCCACAATAAATTGATGCAGAAAAGGCAGAAATTTGTGCAGAAAAATACAAGAATACAGGAAATTAAGTGTTTAACACTCTGGGGGAGTACCACCAGGCCCCCTTGTTCATACTGTCGCAGTTTTGTTCTTATATTATTATAATTAGACACATGACATTACATCACAATGAGACAATTAATAGTGTTGTTCTGAGTTTTGTTGTGCCGTATAAGTAGAGGATGTTTGCTGTTGCTTTACTGCTTTACAGACTTAACTTTGGGGTGGGGGTGGGGGTAGGGGGGTCAATTATTATGTGAAGATATGAAGTTTTATGGGCTAGGCTATTCATGATTTCATCGTTTTTTCTTGCTGTAACTACGAGATCAAAACAGCTACCTGGACATTTTGACATCTGTTGGTTTTCCGGCCAAAGTAGGCTGTTTCCAGCAAAAAAGACACTTATCCTGTAAGCTACTGGTCCAGCATCAAATCTCACACAAAGTTAGTAACTAGCTGGTAAACACAATGGAGAATATAATAACTACAGACCCAGGAGAGCGAATATTGGACTTTCATTAGTCACATGGAAAAGTACCTACTAGATGACGTCATCTTGGCATATAAACCAAATTTGGGTGCTCCGGACTGTTTTGGCTGTGACTTGCAAATGAATTTGCAATGAGGATGCAGGATAGGGAAGGGAGCCATTTCCCTTTAATTGCTCAGCAGATACACAAATCATCAATGCACCACCATCCATGCTTCATAGATAGATAGATAAAAAAGTGGTCTTGTCAATTTCAGCTGGTAAAATCAACTGACATGAGTTGACTTGTCAAAATCTTCATCGTTATGTGGTGGGGAAAGGTTCCCCAAGTGCAGGTTAAGGTGTGGTGGTGTTGAATGCAGCCTTGATTTAACTCCTCCCCTGGCCAACCTCCTTATTAGGCTTAGACTATATAAGACACCTGTGTTCCCTTACTCTCTCTCTGCTTCTTGATCTGTCCCGGTTGTGGTTGTGGTTGTGGTTGTGGTTGTGGTTGTGGTTGTGGTTGTGGTTGGTGTTGGTGTTTGTGGCCCAGGTATGTGAAAGGAATAGTTCTGTGGATATCTATTTTCTCTTAACAGTTTGTTACTTACCTGCACTCTGACACTGTTAGGAACCTCCTTTTCTCCTGCCCTGTGACCACTGATGTATCTTCATGACCCATCTCAGAGGTGGTGAGTTGATACATGGTTTTAAATATATTTTAATGCAGTAAGGTTGAGCCTGGCTAATTCTTTCCCACCCTTTTCCAGCTTATTCCTTGTTTCAGACCACTGCTGTTTTGCCTCATTTAGTTTCCTGTTTTAGCCCTTTAGTTTGTTTTGCTCTAGTTCAGTTGGGTTACTTGGTTGGTTTGTTACTTTATGGTTGTTTCTATTGTATTCAGTTTATATTTTGAGCAGGGTGCCATCTTGTTGGGAGACTAGGCACCCATGGCAAGGTCCCTTCACTTTTATGCATGCGAGTAGTTGCACGGGGGCACAATATAGACTACACCCTTTTTTTTTCTGTGAATAATGTGGTGAGGTTTGTAGTGCTGCACTTAAGGTGGGTAGCGGTAGCACTCCTCAGCATAGTCTACCTCTCCACAAGTGACCTTCTGCTTAGTTTTGGTTAAAGTTGTTGTGGGGTGCTGGAGTTGTATTTCTTTATTTTAACTTAAAGTAGTTTTTAACTAATTATTGTAATAATTATGTAATTATCTACTGTTTTATTATTGTTCACATTTCTTTTCCTTTCAGCAATTCCAGTCCCTGATTGTTCTATATTTTGGTATACTTATACCAAAATCACGTCTCTGCTTCATCAGTAACATTCCTGTGTGCCTTATATCTCTCTTGTCCAATTAATCAATCAAGGTTTAAATAGTATTTCCTGGGGTGCAATTCCCTAGGTGGCGTTGTTGGCTTTCATTCAATCCCCCCCCTTTTCTGGTCCGCCACCCCACAGTTATAACTGTTATTTTACTGTCAGAATTCTTTAATAAATTTTTTTAAATGTAGTAATATGATCACCATTGATTACAGTCACCTAAAGGAGTAGAAAAAGGAATTAACGTGATTTAACGTCATCACAAGAATCCATTCTAGGGAATTCTGGGTAGTGTTTCCCTACATTAAAAACTACAATATGCAAATTTAAGTAGGGGTGTGGCTGAGTGTGTGTGTGTGTGTGGTGGGGGGGGGGTGTAAAAGGTCAGGTTAATCAATTCCTTTGGCTCTTCACTGCCAATAAACCTATGTTAAGCATACCATAACTGAAAGCGAAATATTGACCAAATGTGGTTTGGAAATTTGGAGTTTGTCAAATTTGACCTCCAGAGGTTTCAGGAAAGTTTTTATAGCTGCATTTGAATCTGACTTCAGGGCAGACATAGCCACTCAGAGGCACTGCTGTTGACGAGGAGACACTGACAGGCAGAGAGCAACTGGCATGAAAGCAATCATTGAGGCACTCAATCACATGATCCCAGCTTATATCTTTGCGCCTCCAGACCCGGACAACATGGACAAATAACCTGCGGACGTCTGATGCATTATTTCCCCCCTTGTCTCCTATCAAGCACAAATTTGTGACTTCAGTATCAGCTTCCTGCCAGAGTTACATGAGATACTCGATATTTGTGGTGTTTTACTGTCCTTTCTGTGTAGCGTTTCGTAAACATAGGCCTTAGAGATGTATACAAAAGCTCGGCAATGAGGCATGACAAAGGGGTTGAATTTTACATTTTATCAGTGTGCCTTGCAACATGACTTTGTTTAGAGATTATAAATGTAATTTTCTTTTTTTTTTTTATGAATGAGTTTGTTGTACATCAGGATCTCCATTCACATACAAGATCATGTGTTATATGGTAGTTTGTTTTATAACATATATAATATTGTAAAATCTGTAAGTGACTAGAACTTTAAGTTAAAAGCACCTGAAATTGCACTGTAATGAAATATAAATGACTAGATTGTTGAAGACTGTGGTGATGTCCATTAAACTGGCCAGTAAGTCCATTTAAAACAATTCAGGGCTGGATCTTAAGGATTTGAAGGCCAGGCTGAAACTGTGCCCCCCCCCCCAATGAGGCTGTCTAAACTTCCAGACACCAAACAAGTTGAGGAGTGCATGAATGCTTCGACCTCCACAAAAAGATTTATGGGATTTGTGCTAAGAATGCTACATTTATAACAGATTTTAAAATGGGGAAAGGAATCATCAGTCTTTCAAAAGAGATGCAGACTCTGGAAGATCGAGACCCTCAATTGGGACTGAGCATTCTAGTCTTGTTTTTGTATGACCACCTATACATCATCCATTTGACTCGCTGTGGCTTTACAGAAATCGTGGTCGATTCTAGGCTGACTGCTTCATGTCTTGGATTCTGCTGTAGACTGTTTTATGAGTAGGAATATAGCCAAACCCAATTTATGTCATAAGTGTGACACGAGAGGAACATAATTAGAATTTGTTGCCTGCCATCTGATGCACAATACGCACTGACAAAGCAGGAATAGTTAATTCTCCCTTTTTTTTTTTTTTTTTTGTTTTAGGACGTATTGACAACAAAAAATAACAAAATAACATTTGTATTTGGCTTTGGTTGCTTCTAAATGGGTTGAAGCCAAACCCATGCTGATACTGTATTCCATTTATTTGCTAAGCATCAAACTGAATCTTAAATGTTTTTGAAAACAATTTCAAATGTGATTATTTACAGTCAGGCTTGGTGTATCTGCTTCCTTCAGTTATTGATGTCTGGGGAGAGGTGAATATTTTCACCAATGCCTCTTAAATAAAGGGATATTTCCAAATAAATTTTAATCAAAATTATAAATCTCACTGTTCTATTCTAATAATTACTTAGGATATTCACTACTTTTTAAAATGAATGCTTCGTTTCTAAGTGACAGCGTAAAGGATGATATGCCTGTTAAGTGAGATTCTCAGCATGCTAATCTGATGCTTTCTAACAGTCCTGGTATTATGTGATATTATTAATGACAAATCACCCAAAATATAAATGCTACAGCAGGTGAAAAAAGGCTTTTCTTGGCGCCAATCTGACTGTTCGGCGCTGCTTTGCCAGCGGTCAGACACAATCTTATTTTATGGTGATTCAAAGCTGATTTGAGCGAGAGACAAACAATGCTTTGGCTTACAAAGAATGTAAACAGAGAGAGGGAAGCTTCAAATTGGGCCCGGAGTCTCCTGGAGAATAATTAATGTGACATTTCCCTGACATTTAGTTGGAGGTGTAGTGGAGGAGCCTGAAGAAGGGGAGGAAGGAGGCAGAGTTGAGGGAAAAGAGACAGTCAGGATGACAGGGCAGAAAGAACACAGGCAGCAACACTGGATTTCTACCCGAACATCTGAGAAATATTGTTCTTTGCACAGACATTAAAATATGGGAACTAAGCAGAAGTGCGATTACACACAGAAATACAAATAGACCTACTCTAATGTTCAGTACCCACTCCTTCAGTGATGACAAAATTGTACTTTTGTTGCTTGGTAACCATTTGTTTTGTGCTAATCTCTAACATTCACCATCTGTTTATGGGCTGCGACACATACATTTCCATCTCTGACCCAGGATAGGAGAGCACAGCTGATGAGCTAACACTGGGACAGTCTGTGGTCAAAAGCTGTACTGCTTGACAAGCCCACAGTATTGTTCCAGCCTATTAAAAAAAATTACTAAGACAATACATCAACCCCTATCGCAGCTTTTAGTAGTTTGGTCTGTGGTTTCACATTGCCCTTTTAAGCTAATTAGGAATTGATAAACTCTGCTGTGTCAAGAATGTTCTTTTTTTTTCTGGCACGCAATCCTCCACTGTAGGCTAATAATGATGCCAAACGAAGAGATCGTGAACACTTTTTTTTAATGGTAAGCGCTGCACCTACTCATCAATTGGTGGTTATTGAGAGCTATAGGTTTGCAGGAAACAATATGCCTCAGCACTTTACTGTGTCATAATACAGAGCAAAGAGCACCCATCTTGGTTAAACACTTCAAAACTGTTCTCCAGTGATATTTTGATAAATTGCAGATATGGAGATTGTATGATAATGGAGACAGCAATGTATGGCCAGCTCAGAGTGGTCGACTGCTCTATGTGGGCTACTGCACTTCCTTAGCCCTAACACAATAAAGATTGATCTTACATCTCTTTAATTCCTATGAAGAAGACATTTCACTGACAGCACTCATCTCAGTCTGTTTGTGGGGTCACGCTGGCTGTTCTCATGAATCCTCACCTCGAAGCATCAGCCAGCACAAACTGCCAATAGTCTTATTTCTCGAATTTCCCGAACAAGGCATTCTGTTCTCTTTAAAACAGTGTTGGAAGAGACAGCGTCCTCTTTGATCCCTCCAATATAATCTGGAAGAGTGTGATCAAAGGCTGCTCCAGTATAACACTTTCTGTGATCTCCCAGGTTGCAGTTGCAGGTGTGGCTCTCTAAAAGGCCAACTCTGTCTTTTTGTGCAAACTGAGGGTGAGCTCACCAGATAGAAGTCAACACTCTGAGGTATGGCCTTCAGATAAGGAAATAAGGTGTGCAGTAGGGTGAGGACCACAACATCTACTTCTGACTGGAGATATTCAACACACGGGTGTTACAAACAAAATGCAGGGTCACATGCTCATTCAACCAAACAGTGCATAATATTAACACACAACCACAAATTCTTGCAGCCCCCGTTCTGTCACCTTTCTTTTCCAAGTTATTTGCTATAATAAATTGCTTGAGTATGGTCTGACTGCTTTCTTAACTGTTAACAGTTACCAAATAACCTTTTCTTGGTTTCTAGCATTTCTCTCTTCTAGTTGTTTATTAAAATATGTACTTGGATAATGACAGGTCACAACCATCTTTTATTGATCAAAAAGTGCTCCCCCCCAAAGCATTGACTAATGCGAATGATCCAAACAAACCTAAATCATTTCTGACTTGTCGTTTATGTGCACAAAGATATAATTCAATATCACAGCCTCCAGCAGAATATCTCAAATTCAATTGGCTCAGGATGGTGCAGGGTGGGGTGGTCACAAACAAACATCTAGCAGAATGCAGAAGGATAATGAAAAGAAATTGCTTCAAGAGTCAAATATGCGTTTTCATGTTGTAAGAGAGAGCTGCTAAGTGATATTATGAATTATTTATTTGTGCATCACGTCAGACCAAGACTAAACATGCACATGTGTTGTCTTGATGCTCTTGCATTTGTACATCTGTGTGTTTATTTGGGGGGTGTATGCAATGGTTCTGCAGTGAAGAACAGATACACATTTTCAAAAGTGAGTTAATGATACAGGAACGGGCCAACACTTCTGCTACAAGTTTGGTAATAAGAGCATTATAGGAGATACAGATAATGAACCTTGTGTCATGTTTTAAAGATGGTTAATAGTGATACATCCAGAGAGCTGCTTTCACTGTTACCAAACTGCCATGTCAAGACATTCCTTTTCTAGTACTTAAACAACGATAATGGCAGATAATAGCGCATACATCCCACACTAATAAATCACATCCACTGGCCTTTTCTATAATTTCCACTTAAGTAAACGCCAAAACACAACACACGGAGTCATCCTGACTGACCCATTTTGTGCAACTGTAAATGTCTTTAAAAATGTGTTCTAAAATGTGTTTGGAGGTCTGAAAAGCCACAGGTACATTTTCACAGGTGCAAAACATTTGTTTTCCTCTTTGTTTCCTCTCTAAATAATGGCAATTATCTATGTTTGGCTGCCCCTGTTACTCACACAGAACACTTAGCAGTGCACAATCACGTAAAGGTTGTGGTATTTTTTATGGTAGGCCTATTTATAACGATTCAGTGGTCTAAAAACTACACAGATTCAACATCACATGTTAATTTCAAAATGCCAGAAGCACATTACTTACTTCAGGAGAGGGACTATATCAAGTATCAATATGTCAAGGTATGATGCACTATAAAACAAGACAGTCTTCAGCCATGCTAGCATCTTGGTGAGGCTGTATTTAGGCACAGCAGTGGTTTGAGCTAAATGCTAATGATGGCATGCTACAATGCTCACACTGGCAATGCTAACATGTTAGAGGAAGCATAATGTTTAATGTTCATTGTCTTAGTTTTAGCGTGTTAGTATACTAACATTGGCTATTTAGCATTAAACACAACGTACAGATGGGGATGATGGGAATGTCATTAGTTTTGTAGGTATTTGGTCATAAACAAAAGCATTGGACACACAGATCTGAGGATGGCGCTAGAGGAAATGTTGAGGGATTACAATTCATCCTGAGGAGGACATGAATGTGTGTACCAAATTTAATCCAATCGTTCTCACTCAAAACCACAAATATCAACCTCAAGGTGGTTCTAATGGAAAGGTCAGGGGCTCACCAAAGGTAGTAGGCTTTATCCTCCTGGATCATGAATGTCTGAAACAAACTTCATGGCAGTCCAGCTAATAGTAGATTTTTCAGTCTGGACCAAAGTGGTGCACTAACCAACCAACCAACAGCCTTGCCATATTTCTCTGTGTGCCTTTGTGTGTCTGTGTGTAGGCCACTACAAATCATCATCATGCTAATGGAGGATTGCTCCAACCAGTCACACACTCATCTCTTTAACCCCAACATCCGAAGATAATTACCTTTGCTGCAACAGATGAGCTGGGCTTTTCCAGGAGGTCCCAGAGTTTCTTTCGTTTTTCCGCACAGCAAGTGTTGTCAAATTCTTCTCCCTCTCTGTCTTTCATGTTGTCTGCCTCTCGTTTGAGCTCCTCATTCATTTGCTCCTTTTTCTGGTGGTACCTCGCCTGGCAGCATGACTCCAGGTAGATCTCGTCAATGCCCCAGTAGTCAAGTTCTTGACTGAATGACAGGGCGCACATTTCTTCCATCATGTGCAGCTTACCCGTGCGGTAGAAGTTCAGAATTGACGTGAACGCCCCTGGATGTCGGTCAAAAAAGTACTCATTCTCCTCAAGGTTGTAGTCATCGCACACTTCCATCAGACATTCATGAGTGTTGCAATCTCTTAGCTTTCCCAAACGTGTCCGTGGTAGCCTATCTAACGTTCGCCACAAGACTTCATGCGGGAGACCCCCAACATTCAGCCTGACTCTGCGGAAACATGACTTACTGCGAATGATGTCCACCGGTTCGGGTGGCAGTGATGATGTTGAGTGCGAGCCCGCTTTATTTAACTCTGCCAAGGATTTCTCCATGATGACTTTAGATTCGAGGAAGCAGGCAAACATCCAGGGCTATGGACTACAGTTGGTCCTGTTTTCCTTCATTGTTGTATCTAAAGGATTCAAAAAACAAAACGAAATCATTAGTATTCCAGGATTAGCCCAATAGATCCAAGCTCACACATCAATCACCACTCTGAATTAAGATAAGATAAGATAAAATATTACTTTATTAATATAGTGATAAAGCTGTAGGCCATCTGTGCTGAGGGCTCACAAGCCTAAAAGATTGGAAACCACTGATTTCGATCAGCATTTTGGTGTTGAGCTGTTTTGAGTAAGAATGGCGTCTATCTTTTTTTGCAAATGAACTTCTCAACCATACCCTCAGATTAGTATTCTTCAGATGACTGATGCCTACTAAGAGTTAACAAGAAACTGAAGGCCAGAATTGCAAATCACTGCTTTAAAAGGCTCCAGGGCAGAGAAATAAGAAACAGAGACACTTTATTATTATCTTTTGATATTTCACTGTTAACTATTATTACATCTTATTATCTTTTTTTAGATCTTCTTTGATTCGACAATACATCTACCCTCATCACCTTTGGCATAACTCATGCAAATTAGGAGTTAGCACGGGGGAAACTGATATTGATACTGTCATCAACTAAAGAAGACACTGAGAGAAACTTCCTTGAATGTAATTTCCCACGACTTTCCCCCAAAACTTTAAAAACTACTTTAAAACCTACTCAGATTGAAACCCAGCATGGAACTGCAGCAGGGTCTTGAAGACCAGCATTTAAAATCACTGCTTTAAATGGCTCCTGCATGGGCAGCGAAATGTGGGACAGATAATTTGAATTATTATCTCTGGATTTTCACTTGCTGTTATCATCTATAGTATCATCGTCTTTGAATTCTTTTTAAATTATGTCCTGAATCTACAATAAACATACCTTCGGATGTGGGTTCTTGAGATGACTCACACCTAATAGCAGCCTGCAGAATCATACATTTCTATTTAGAAATAAGAAAAAGATATTTGGGAACCATGACTAATAGCTGGGCTATAGATTCTCTTGTTCTCTTGTTGTCACAAACTAGTGGAAGGACACCTTGTTGAATACATCAACTTTCCACCAAAACTTTAAAACCAACTTGCACTCATTTCCTTTTCGGAGACATCTCCTCTATGGCCGCTGATATCTATATTATTACCAATAATAAAATATTTGTCTTGCATGACAAAAACTACTTCTCTTGAATGACTTACGTTACGCTGCACACAGCTGAGGCTACCTGCTGGGGTGATGTGTTTGTTTGTTTGTGTGTGGTAGTTTGCCATCCCTAGCATTTGGTTGATCACCGCTCATGTGACGCCCATGCAGTGCTGTGGGTGGGGACGCAGGACGCCACAGTGATGAGTGAGGAACAGAGTGAGCGCTGTCCACTCTAATGGTGCTGAAACACCAGGAAGCGCTGTTCACTCCCTGCATCACGGCGGGCTCTCTTGGGGGAGGCAGGCTGCCACCGAGAAGAAAAATAATATATATATATATATATATATATATATATATATATATATATATATATATATATATATAGCCTACATTTTCTCCTCACAAAGGGTCCAACATTTCTTGGATCCATTAAAGACTGTAGACGATGGCACGAGCTGCACATTCGCTGTTCATTTTGCTTATGAGAGCGTGGAACCCAACAACACCTCAGGCCTGCAGATGTGATCTGTCGCACAAAGTTTCTAACACTTCACAAACACAATTAGGCCGAAGCACTATGTCCACATACATCTAAAAACACATACAACATTTACAAAACAGAATGCAGACTTGAGGATTGTTATGTCGGCTTTTTGGACATGCACTAACCGGCTGCGGGGAAGCAGTAACAAGAAATGTTCATTTGAAGGAGCCTCCACCCTCCTTTTATGGAAGTCAAGGCTTCGATGAAATAAATTAAGCACCGCTAAAACATCTCCTCCCGTGTCCACACTTTAGGCTGCTGTTATGCGTAGCTAAATTGAGAACGAAAACAAGCTCAGTGTTATGTTTAATCATCTACTACTGCATTGTTGTGAATGCAAATCCTCCATCGTCAAGCATTTCTCTGTGTTTGCAAAGCCTGCCTGCTCCATATTGCTGCAGTTTTAGTCCTCTGTGCCATTAGTAATCTATTACAATGGATACGTTACACATGATTCAAAGTCCAAAGATGGAAATAAGCTTAAAAAATACCGTAGTGAGTTGTTGTCATCCTGCACTGAACCAAACCAGCACGTATCGCTCCGTGAACAAGCGATCCGCTAGTACAGATGAAGCAGAAGCATTTAAAAAAAAAAAAGGAGGCGCCGTTATTGGTTTACTATTGCCAGGGTCTAACCCAATCCATTCCCCCCTCTGCCTCCGACATGGCAGAGAGATCCTCAGCAAGATCTACTGCCTACCCGCCGCTTTCCTGCCCCACATATCGCACCGCTGCTTCCCCTGAAGATCAACAAGTATGCCGAGAGCCAGTTCGGACAGACTACCTGTGATTCACAGTCAGCTGTGCGAGGAGGCGCCGCATTTCTCCGAAGGTGGATCCGTGGCAGCTCAGCTTCCACATCTGATTAACTCTTTCAGCACCGCGCCTTGGCGCCTGGCTGTATCACTATGAGGGGCTGCTGTGTAGGCCTACTGTTAGAAAAAAACAGGAGTGCACATAAAAAAAAATGGGTCAGTAGGCTATGAAAATCAATGATAGGATACACGTTCTGAAAAAAACGACCTTCTAATTAGGGAACAAGTTCATTTAATACTGCTTAATTTGATGAAGGTAGATGGGTTTACCCTCCCCTTTGTCTCAACATATAGGCCTAAACAGTAAAAGTATTCAGATCTTATACATTACATTATAGTAAAACTAGCGTTGCACTCAAAAACTAAAAACTAAACTAAAAGAAATATTAGCAGCAAAATGTACCGGATAGGAGGAAGAAGAAAAAAAGGTCTGCAACACAAATCTCTATTTCCAAATATTTTCTTTATTGTGAAATATTGGATAATTTGACCTCTCTGGGCCTTAAACTGAAGAAGATGAAACCATAAGATGAAACCATCTTAGGGGTTTAGAGGGGAAATGTCTCTTTGGTGAAAATGCTAATAATTGAAACATAGCAAGGGGCCCCAACTTACTGTTTTGTGGGTGGTAAGCACTGTTTTAACCTTAAACAATGCCTTGCATTTTCCTAACCCGTGTTTTTATGTCAAATCTCAATCTCAGAAGTTACAACAGCTGTTAAATAAAGTTAGTAGGGTGGAGGAAAAAGTACCATATTTCAGTGCAGTGCAGATGCAGTGAGAAGTGTAATGTAGAAGTATAAAGTAGCATAAAGTGGAACATCTCAAGTAAAGTACAAGTATCTTAAAATTGTACTTAACTACAGTAACTGAGTAAATAGTAGTGTTGGCTTTAAAGCCTACATTGTTCAATAAGGTGTAGCCCAAAGTATTCTCAAAAATGAGAAATATGTCTGGTTTACTTTTATTTCTTCCTTTTTATTGAAAATATTAATAACACACAACATATTTTATATATGATACATAGATGCAGTGATTAATTGTAACAATAAATAGTGCTACAGTACATATAACAAAAAGGTTTATCAATCAACAATTTTTTCAGTTTATCAAGTCACATTTCATTCTTCAATCTGTATCGGACCTGCAGATCTCCGTCCGGCTGGAGCATCCCAAAGCCGTAGCGACTGGGATTAACTGGCGGCAGTTTAGCCTCTGGTTCACACATCTCCAGATCAAGATGGGTCAAGACCAAGAACACAAATCTAGAGGCACAAGGTTTAGCAGTTTAGAACAGGGGACCAACCACCCACTAATAAACAGGACAAATTAGACAATATTAAAATGAGCAAATGCATGTTTCAGGCATCCAGTTAAATCTAGAAATGATGTAAGAGGAAATCACAAAAGCTGAAAAATGCCTAAAAATAACTGATTCCCAAAGTTCCCGGTCTACACATTAACATTAACTAACTTGCACCCCTCCCCCTTGTTGCGTGTTGTAGATTACAATGCCTTTAATCTTACTGGATATGATGTTTGACAAAAATGCGCTCTCCCAACTGACTGTCCTCTATTAAAATCTTTTGCCTCTTTCATACAGTTCATCACAGAGTATTGGCCATTACTATGTTACAGCTTGTTGCTAATGATGATAGAGGACATGAGGACTGAAACGATAATAGGGGGAATATTATGTGGAGACAGATTTTGCTGGTCTCGTCTGGTAATTGAGATGAAATTGCAGGAGTCACTTTAAAACTTAAGACACATCATGGAAAGACATAAATCTTTAAAATCAATAAATAAATAAATAAATAAAACTGTGGATTTTTAGACTCACTGTTTAATGGCTGTAACAGCAAACTCTTTCCCAACACAAATGTTTCTCCCTGCACCCCAGGGCATGGTGTGGTATTTCAGCCTTTTTCCATCCTTGTAGAATTTATCCACGACCGTCATATCGTCATTTAAGAAGCGATCATACTTGAAAATCTGTTGAGAAGAAACCAGAAAAAATATATATGAAGGCATACGTTAGGTGAGTACATTATAATATCATACAAATAGGCTTGCTCATATGTATTCTGCTGCATTTCTTCTGTTAAAAATAATATGTAATTATCATCATCTCTCACCATTGAAGACCAACAAACAGAACGAACACTGGGAATTGATCTCGCCTTCTTGATAGTCAACTCCTAGTTGTTTAATTTGTAGCGATTTAGAAGTTTATCCCAAAGGACGTTTTAATGATTAGTGATTTTAATCACACTGCTTAATCCTGCCTCCTCAAGGTTGTGCACTACAATATTTCTTAAAAATATCACAATAGAGATGCACAACTATCATGATTGTGGAACCTCCAATTCCTCCAAAATGTGCGGTAATTACAGCATCTCATGCACTTATCACAACAACAGCTGTGTTTTCATGTTTGTGCTGTTAATGCTGTGATCGCGGCCTGTGTACACTTCAGGTCTGCACACCAAAGTACCTGTGGTTCTTGGTGTATCTGTGGGTCCATTTGAGGGCTGAGGAAAGGGAACAGACACACGCTATCCCCCTGTCTGAGGTGGTACTCCTGTCCATTGGCCATGTGCAAGATCTTGTCCTGCACCACCTCTCTAGTGATCATTACTGCGGCGGTGAGCCGTAGGGTCTCACTCAGAACGCTATCTGCAGAATGGAAAGGACAGCAGAGTGGATGATGTTAGAGGGGTGTCAGCGTGAGTTAAATCAGCGGTGCCCTCGGGCGTAATTTGGAGTGGTACAAACATTTGCGTGGATGAATTTATGAAAAAGGCAATCATAATTGAATCGAATCAAAGGTCATACTTTTTATTGTCACTGTCATTGTTTCAGCACGCTGCACGCATCTTGCATTTCCAAGAAGTCAAATGAGCTTTTGTTTCCATTTCACTGGAGAGGCTAAACCCCATGCTGGAAGAGCTCAAGTGAATAAGTGAAAAGGATGCTAGCAGCTGTTACGTACCAAACACAGGGGTGCTGTGTGCTCCTTGCAGGTTGATGCAAGACTGCTGTAGGAAAGTGTCCTTGAGACTAAGGCTTCTGATCTCTGATTTAACCTCTTCCATGGCCTCTGGGTGAGTGAGCAGGAAGCCAAGGAGCCAAAAGGCAGCAGGACCAGCATTACACTGAAAGGAAAAGCATCCAACTGAGCACAAAGACCTTTATGTGAGGTTCTAGCAAGAAAAGCTGCACAACAGTGTACATTTTGTGTATGTGAACATACAATGCATAAAACACAGAGATGCTGTCAACTACTGTTTTTCTCAGCTCACTGTAATGCTGCTGTCTGAATATGACTGATATGAGGAGGAGTCCACACTTTGTGGAGACACCTGAGCCTGTCAGACAGTAATTGCTGTGGGTTAAGGGAGCTGTTCTTCTTAGGTCTGCACATCTCAGGCCAGCTCTCCATTGACAGCGGTGGCAAATGCCCAAAAGCGAGTAAAGGTGCACCACAGTGTGTTTTCTGCCCTCAGATAATGATTTGAGTCTGGTTACATTAACAGCAGCAGAGTGGGGATTTTTTAAAGGAACGGTTGGCATTTTAGGAAATATGCTAAGATGAGAAGACTGACACCACTGGCTTGTGTGCTAAATATGTAAGGGCTGTAATGTAGTTTTAACGTTGAGTTTTTGTACAGATTAAACACATTAGATAAAATATGTTAATTAGGGAACTTTAGAGGTGCTGGTAGGCAGTTTATGTTACCTTTAAACTGAGCCAGGCTAGTTGTTTCCCCTGTTTACAGTCTTTATGCAAATCTAAGATAACCAGCAGCTGGCTCCTGCTGCTTTCTAATAAGCATAATGCCCAAAATGTCAAACTACTCCTTTAGGGTATGACTTAATTCACTGGCAGCGGTATTTCCGGAAAAGCTAAGGAGGCTCACTAAACACAAATGTGGCTGCCAGTGACTTGCTTTATTTTCCATAAAGTGACTTTCTTGATAAATTCAGGAATTCTTTTTACATTAAAACACATGTGTGGGGGTGAGAGTGCACAGATGGCACAACACATTAAATCACCATCTCCCCTTAAAGGAAAGTAACAATAAATCCATTTCAGTCTATATATGTTTCAGTCAATGAGTTTGATTGTTTGCAAAGAACAGTAACCACCAGCTTGTGCAGGGCCCATGATGAAGTGGTTAGTGGCTTTAGTGAAATCCTAGCATTGCACATTGAAATACCTCAGTCTGCCTGTAACACATGTATAAGCCATATCCACTCTGGCATGTCTCACAACTCTCATGTCTAATCCCTCTATTCTCTGCAGTGGTGCTCCAGTCCCAGATTGAGACTGTTTGCTCCGATATCCCAGCAGACATGATAAAGCACAAACAAACATGCTGGAGGAAGAGCGGTCTTTCCCAAACCAGCAGAGGTTCTAACAGAGCCCGACGTTGGTGGCCTGGCAAATACTGTACACTGCTGTTACTGCGTGACCAATCATTGTTCCAGTGAGACTGGCAGGTTAACAGACGGCTGAAGCTGTTACAGTTAAAATGTGGCATAGATGAACATCAATGAAATAGTGTGCTATCGCCCCCACCTGGCAGCCCAGTGAAATGACACCATGTTGATATGAACTTGTCTGGACTGGTGAGGTTGAGGAAGCAACAATTCTGCATTCACGCCAGTGTCAATATTGGCAATTCTGTACACTGTATCCATTTGAAATGAAATCAATTGAAATAAAAAAACAAGATGATTTATTCATTGGTGAGGTGAAGAGTTAGGGATTCTACCAAAGTAAAATCTTGCACTAGACAAGAGAGTTTTATATTTTGTCCTTAAACAACCTCTGTATCTATGCACGCAGGTTAAACAACATCTCTGGAGCTGCACTGTAGTCAACAGTGAAAAACCTGATTGACAGCACAATACCAGCATGAGTGCCTGACACTGTGTGAAGTGAGTAAGCAGCTTCAGCTGACTAACAGTTATCTTACCATGTGTAATTGCAAAGTCTAAACAAGATAAGGTGTGACAGAAACCGATTCACACAATCAACTGGCAAAACTCCGCTTACAGGTTGAGGCAGGTAGCTATGAGTAACTGGAGACAAACCCATGTGAAACTCACTTCTGCATGGCTGGCAGGCTGAGCACAGTGGCTTGGAATTCAAGGATGCGGTGGGTGGTGTGGAAAGTTTGTGTTTATGTTCTGTGTGCTGTAAATTGGTGCGTGGGCGTGAGATAAACCAGCTCTCACCTGTGTGGTCCACAGCTGCAAAAGCAAAGCTCTTTTCTGCATTTCTGCATCGACTCCCTCCTCCTGCAGGAAGTGATGGTAGCTCCGCTGCCAGGAGTCGGACTCTGACCCTCCACTCAGCCATTTTGGGGACAGCATCTCCCACAGTCGCTCCTGGGACAAGTTGACAGTTTTGCTTTCCCCTGTTAGAGAGCCGACATAAATTCATACCTTACTGTAGTGTGTAGATATAAATCCAGATAGGAATTGAAAGTAAAATAATAACTACTTATTATTAAATAATATTGTGCAGCTTACCTCGTTTGAGTGAGCAGCGAGCCAGTTTCGTGAGAAGACCGTCAAACTTGCGGAACTCTTTGTAGACTGCAGTAGCATTGTTTCCCTTCTCAAACAACGTAAGGTATCCGGCCCTGAGCACAGCAGTAAAATAAAAAATTATCCTCTCTCTCACTCCTGGTAGTAGAAACACCGGCACCATTTTATTTACAGTATTTTCGGTAGGTTAAAATGCTGCATGTTACCTGAAAAGCAGGCTGTAACAAAGGCTAAAGAGTCCATCCTGTCTCCACTCTGACGGGCTGCAGCCTTTCTGGTCACTCAGCACCAGGTCCTTCAGGTGAGTGTTCATGGAACTGCTGAGCTTGGAGAGACTGAGACCCTGAAAATGCCTGAAGAAATAACAAATGTATATTAACGGTTTGCAACATTCTCATTTAAACCAGGAACAGCAAGTGCTGTGTTTAAAAGACACATCAGTTACCGTTCCATCCATATCCTCTCTGCTGTAGGTTTGATGCTTGGCAGCTGCAGATTGAAGATCCTTTTTAGGAGCAGGTTTCTGTTGCGGGTGAAGTCCAGGAAGACTGTGTCATTCAGCACAGCATCAAAAGAGTTTGGGTCCAACAGCACCGTCACATAATGACCAGCAATGCGGACCTGAGAGGACAACACAATTTGAGTTGTTCCTGTATTCACTGTTTTCAATTGCAACTAACTTTTATTAGAGTTCTTATATCCTAATAATACCCTGTTTTTTTTGTCTTTTACTTTGAAGCTATGTGGAACGGCCAGTTCTTAGCTAGAAGGCATATTCAGTGGAACATTTTGTTCTACATTAGAAAAATAATAATAGGTTCCTGTGGCCTCAGCAGCACTAATTTCAGACATATTCAGATGAAAAGCATTATGGGCGACTAATTAACTTGCTACCACTACATATGTAATGATGTGTTTTCCTTTAAAATTAATATTTTGTTGCAGTCATGGAAAATCCTAATCAGATAGAATACAATATCAGATCTGTTGACAGACTTCTTGTTCCTGTTTCAAACAATTACATGTTCATGTTTCCTCAATTTGACAGTCAAATTCTCAGAATAGCTTCCCTTTTGGGAGAGAATACTTCCCCATCAAAGTTACTTAGTAGTCTTTATCAGGACGTACTGTGAAGATATCCCCATGTTTGTCTTTCATCCGGGCCAGAAACTTTGCAGCATCTTTCCCAAACTCAAGAGCATGCCCCAGCCATGGAAGGAAACCTTTGTCCAGAGGTGGCTCATTTTTCTGTCTGTCAGGAGTAAGGAAACAGTGTGACTGATGAGTTGGTTTATCTACCTTTCATTTGTTCAAGATTCTCAACCAACTGGTTTGGTGTTTATGTGAAGATATGTGATAAGAGCTTTCTTAGGGTTGGGTATCTTTTAAAATTTTACAATTCAGTAGCAAAACCTTAAAGTACACTTATAATATAGTAGCCCAATGTTGTTATGGACGAGCAAGGTGATCTATTTTCTTTTTTCAAATAACATAATAAAAAATATTGGGAAATTGTATCAGATCCTCCTCATCCTAGGTCATCCTCATGTGTGGTATCAAAGGGGAAAGACTACAGCTTTTATTGTTTACAGTTTGATTGACGAATTTAAGTTATTTTTTTGATACGTTTGATTATTTTGTTAACTTTCGATCAATGAACTGAATTGAAAGATCTGCGCAAGTGCTTTTTCCTTTAGTGGCGAGTCGCAAACCTCCTCCAAAAAGACAGCAATAAGTAGAAAACCAGTAGAAGTCGGCTTAAACAAGTCACTAAACTAAAGACTCTGAAGAAGCAAATACGGTAAAAGAGAGTCTTCACATCCAGGCGATCACACCAACTAATTAATCGTTTAACTGATATGATGAAACGCAGTGATCGATCAGTGACAAGTGTTGTGCATAGCAAATAAAAATCTAGCTACAGAGAAGTGTTAAATGATACCAGTAGATGAAACCGACGGTAAGCCAAGCTTGTGGTGACTAACATGCCTGAGATCGCAGCTAATGTTGGAGGGGCTGTTAAAATCCGGCATGGACTCGGCACGTGCAGGCACATAAGTAAAAAAAAAAACGGCGTGCAGTTCTCTTTCTTTCGGTGTGTTGCTTGCGTGTCATTTGGCTGCAAGCAAAACCTTACAAATAGTAATTTTGCCGCGATTTAGTTACAAAAAATATTGAATGAAGTGCTGGTTTGACTGGAGACGTTTGGATAGCTACTGGTTGATAGCCTATTGGGTTGTTTCGGTTGATACCATAAAGGTATCGAGTAGCATACCCATCCCTAAGCTTTCTATAGACCACGGTTGGAGCTTTATTTTCTTATGTTGTTTAAACTAAACAAAACTAGATGAGAATCAGCGTTTAATCATCAGCACAGATTGTATCACTGAGATAATATCAATAGCCTATTTGAATGAAGATATATTCCAATATAATTATTACTACTATTAATGCACCCAGCTTCAGAAAATGACAAGGATAAAGCTTTTCTAAATTATAGATTAGCAAAATGTGCGTTTGTAGCATTTGCAGACCTTCCGACTCAAGCCTGTTAGGCTACGATCTATGAAAAGCACCTATGATATCTGCAAAGATGAACACATTGATTAATGGCTTTACCTTGTGCGAGTGGAGTAAAGGAGAACTAGTACAAGCAGTCCATTAAGTAGCAAGAATATTGTCCATAACATGTTTTTGTATAGTCTGACGCTTGTCCTGTCTCGAAGATAATTTACTACATAGCTGGTGGCAACTCACTTATATCTGAGAGCCGGGCTCATGTGAAACGTCTCTTTGTTAGGAGCTGTGGAAAGGTGTGGCTTGTGACATAAGTGTTGCACAATACTGTGCAGTAGACAGTGTCACCACAGAAACCGTCCACATCTTAACTAACACAAACTGAAATTACATTTCTACAATGTTGTGCTTAGTCACATTAAGTTACACCTTTCAGGTGACGGTTAAACAACCTGCACTTTGAAAAGTCACCTGCCAGAACATTTTATAGCACTGACATCATTAAGGTAAAGGGTTTCATCTTTCATTTAGTAATGGGTGATGTCAAGGCATGCATATTTCAGAGTGTTATTACTGTCCTGTATGTTGACATCATTCCATCATCAATTTCCCACTGACATTGTGAAATCTAAGTCTATTTTTACCTCCCTAAGGCCTCTTCCTGACAGTCACAGGCACAAGTATCTATGACGCTGTCTTCCATACTGAAACTAATGATTTGGCCAAATTCCTGAGCAGCTGTCTCTAGATTTAGTTTTGTTTATGCCCATATGCGAGACTGTGATGCTATCAATATCCTTACTAGTGAGTGAGTGAATGAATGACTTGTTGGTCATACCTTAATGCGAACAAATGGTAAGGACAGACAGACATGTAATAATAGATGTCATGTATAAAGAGTAGACCAACATTGTACAATTACCGTATGAACAATCAGGATGACAAAGTTGACAACAACAATTATACAACAAATTTTATCAATGTACATTATAATCAAAGGTGAACATAAAATTGCTAATAGCATTAAATACATATAATTCTTATAAAACAATATGTGTGTGTATATATGTACGCATGTACACATACAGGCCTACATATCCACACACACACGTATACTGTACAGTAGGCCTACATAGGCTACTGTTAAAAATGCTTGGTGCTTGCACCTTACCAGCAGAGGGTAGTCACGCACTTACAGGACCCTCACCTGTCAGCGGCTGGAGAAAAGTTGAGGAGTGGACACTGAAATGAAGTGAGTCTACAATTTCTTACTTCAAATGACATTCATACAGCTCAACAGCCCAAAACAAAGTCCTCGTCACACCAGAGTAACGTTAACGTCAATGCGGCGGGCCATATCAAGGCTACGCATCAATAATGCGCATTAAGTATGCTCGTAAACATTTTGTTATACCCATAACTATACTTACGTGATGTCAAAGACGAGGCAGTATTTTGTTTAAAATGCAAAACCATAAAGTTCACTTATTAGACACACGTGGACCTTGTTTTGTTTGTAAATGAGAGTGTCATCGACCGTTGACAAATTAAGTGAAAACGAAGACTTTCCGATATTGCTTCGTTGGCATTAAATTGGTATTTTCAGGGGTTTTCAACATACCTAACCGCTAGCTTGCAGCTAGTGTTAAAATCATAGACTGTATATAAAAAATCTAGCAACAACAACCGGAAACTTCAGTTCCTACAGCAAACATTTACTGCAGTGTGCACAAATTGGATCATGCAACATTCCTGTCACTAACATTGTAAACACGTAAAACCTAGCTTGTCCGAGCTGAATGCCGTGTTTTACAATAACACTAATTTATATTCAACAAAATACTGGACAACACAATTCTATAAAGACAATTGACAAAATGTGTAAAATGCAATAAAGACAAAGTGCAAATGAGAGGTCAGAGGTGCTTCAAGCTTGTGGAAGATAATGGCCTTGCTATTTTCAGATGCCATGGCAACACAAAATTCACACACAAAATAAACTGAAAGCTTCAAAATTATATATATGGGTCATTATCATAGACTGTATATAGGTCATTATATGAAAACCTGCCATTTTGTGTCCCTCTGGAAAAGAAAGCTCTCTAAATCTTAATAAACCATAAAACAAATAAAATATTTTATAATTTAGTTTCCATAATATGTCTCATAATGTAAGATCTTTTGTTTTTAAAGGATTTTAATCACATTTTTGTGCAAAGCATCTTACAGAAATTTTGAAAATGGCCTCAACCCACAATATTATTTTTCTACTTCTACTAGCTATTGAGGCCAAAAAAGTCAACTATCATACAAAAACTTAAACCTATATAACACCTCAAATGTTGTTTCATTATTCATGAATGGATTTTATTCTTAATATGTGTAAAATATTGCAAAAAACAACAATTTCGTCAGGTCTCAAAATCGTTACTTTTAATGAAAACACCCCTTCAAAGCTAATGGACTGTTCCAGAAGTTGCATAATTTCCAGGAAGTGACATCACTTGCCTTTTTATGAAGTTTATTATAAAAGACAAGTAATTGTCACCTCCTTTTACGGATTTTTATTTGAGTTCCTAATGTCTCACGGAGGGGGACAAGCTCATTGTGTCAACCCTGTTACCACAAAATCATATGTTGAAAAGTTATTTGTTAGTAATTTTAAATGTACATATATAACAACATTTAAGCCTCTCATGAATGCACACCATGTGGTGTCATGACATTTACCACAAGGCTAGTAGTGGCTGGCAATAAAATTTTTCGTCAGCCAAACTTTCAACACTGCATTAGCAGAAAAAGCTTTAATGCTGTCTGAAATCAGTGTGCTGTACAGGTAGGCAGTTAATTTGATTTCATAATGTTATCATGTTTTTGACAGAACCGATAAGACCAATATTATAATTACCATACTATCAGATATCCAAACATGTGATAGGCCACTACTTCAGTTACTTTTAATTCAAACAGAAGTAAGGAACAGAAGTGTGTGTTTGCATGGCTTTGAAGACAGTTTATCACAGCATTTTACCATGAACTAGGCACATCTCATCTGGAAATGCAGATATTGACAACAGTAATCAGTAACAGTCTTTATATCAATGCATTTTTTTTATTGTTTCCAATGTCAAAATTGCATTAGAACTGACACTATAAAACAGTAAAATAACTGGAGCACCTTACACGTACCATCAAAGTTTGTCAAGAAAATTTGAATGAATAGTATAATGCAGTTCATAATTTACCTGTAGCAGAATGAAACTATACGCTACAGTATTAAGTAAAGAGTCATACTCTATACCCATGTCGTGTGGATTTTGTCTATGTGATAAATGGATTTCCAAAAATGGTCCTTAAGTGTGATGTTACAAAAAGTGATATATATATGTGTGTATATATGTATATATATGTATGTATGTGTATATATATACATATATACATGTATATGTATATATATATGTATATATATATCATATTCATGTATATGAATCAGGCTTATGTCTTTAGACATCTCCCAAGGGAAGGGACAGGACCAGCTATACTGCTAGCCAATTGGGGCCGAATAGTGTTATTATGTTAATTACCCTAAACTGCTTGTTTCATAAAAGGTGGGTGTGGTGCCCTGGAAACCAAATTACTTTAAACAAACAGTCTATCGTATAAATAAACATCACATATAATGTCACACACAGGAAAATGGGGTACACGCAACTGTTTGTCTCAAAACATTTACTTTTTAATGTCTGGTGTTTTGAACCATAACATATACACATGTTCGTTTAAGACCAACAGCATATCGCTACTAATCACTTTCTCAATGGACATAACTCCCAGAGTGTCAAATTCATTACTGTTGGATGATTAGAAAATAAAAGCAGTTAAGTGCTCAACAGTTTAACCTGGATCGCTACCACATAATCTCCATCTCCATCAACAAAAATAATATTGTATTTATATATTTTTTAAACTCTGAAATATACACTTGATTTATCAGTTCATTAAGGACAGATTTATAATCTGATTCTATTCAGTATAATAATGCTACAGTGTAAATGAGGTTATATAAAACATTAGCAGTCAGTCTAAACTTTTATTATTATAAAAATTTATACTATTTTGGTTAATGACTAAATAGCCTAATAAACAAGTAAATTGGTGTAAAGCTGTTTATGCTTAAATTATAACACGACATAGTGAACAGTAGGCATAATCTTGAATAACGCCACCATAAAGACTGCTGTAATTCTTACATTTACAAAGGATCTTTATTAGCCTCCTGATCTTTACTACGTGGATCATGTGATGATCATTCCTCCCATAAAGGCCTATAAGTGGATGGTGTTAAAGTTTCCATGGCCCAGTTAGACACAGCTTTTTCACATTATTTTCAAACCCACCCCAACTTTTATCAGGCTCACTCTGAGGCCAGGGATTGATGAGTAACATTTGCTCAGGAAATTAGAAGTGGAAGTCGAGATTGGTGAGAACTGAACGATTCCCCTGCAAACCTGTCCTGGGCTCTCTCCCAGCGGGAACAGTTGTCACAGACTGACAGTAGCCCACAGATTTCCTGCGAATTGAGTGCAACAGCAGACCGGGATGTCTTGACACAGTTCAAAATGCACTCTTAACACAGATAGGCTCAAATAGAAAGTGCTCAATAATCCCTATCCTATACATTGCTTTGGAACAAAACCACAGTTTGAGTAGCTGTAAGATCAAAGAAATATGTATAGCACACTACTGCACTTGAAAAGTCACAGGAAGTTATTTGACAGTATTTGTCAGAAGACTGTGCCGAGCCCTGAGAGGGAAAGAGCAGGGCAGTGTGACACATTGAGCCATGCTGACTTCCTCTGGGGACACGCTTCGTCATATTTATCAAAATGTTGCAACTGTGCAGTGAATAATGGTTTCAGTGGCAACACAGGTCATTTGTAAGACATCAGTTTCTCCCACTCAGGAATAAGTTTCTGTTTCTGTGATGAAAGTTAGTTGTCTCATTCACACCCAAGAAGGGCAGGGTCAACAATAAAATGTTCATTTTTGCTTTTAAAAACCAAATTGTTGTTTTAGGGTATATTTCCTAACATTTTAGTTTCCTGTATAATCTTGATTATTAGGTGATTTTATGAGTAATATAAAACTCATTACCTTCAGATTAATAACAATGGCCATAATCATGGGGTACAGCCCAAGTTGTATTAGTCTGGCACTGTGTGGTCACTTGTAACACATTTTGAATCTATACTGCTCTTT